GGTTTATCCACCACAGACTTCAGTTTTGCTGTTGTAAATATGTTCAAAAATGTAAAGAGACTCATGTAAAAAAATTAAAGAAAACTACAGAGCATCTCAATAAAGAAATTGAAACTATACAGAAAAAAACTGGACTGATACATGCAAAAAAAGTAAAACTGAACCACTCTCTTAAATCATATACAAAAATTAACTCAAAATGGATTAAGGACATAATTGTAAGACCTAAAACCATAAAAAACATGGAAGAAAATATAGGTAGCAAACTTTGACATCTTTCTTAGGAAAATCTTTTTGGATATGTCCCCTTGAGCAAGGGAAACAAGCAAAAATAAACAAATGGGACTACGTCAAACTAAAACACTTCCACACAGTGAAGGAGAACATCAACAAAATGAAAAGACATACTACTGAATGGGACAAGATATTCACATGATATAGTCAATAATAGGTTAATACCCAAAATATATAAAGAACTCATAACTCAAAATCAAAACAAAACAAAAACTGATGAAAAACTGCGCAGAGGACATGAATAGCCATTTTTCCAAAGAAGACATACAGATGGTCAACAGACATATGAAAAAATGCTCAACATCACACTAATCATCAGAGAAATGCAAATCAAAGCCACAATGAGATACCACCTCATACTTGGTTATAATAAAAAAAATGGCTATCATCAAAGAAACAACAAATAACAAGTTATGCACTGAGGTAGGACTGTAAATTGATACAGCCGCTATAAAAAACAGTATGAAGATTCCTCAAAAACTAAAAGCAGACCTATCATACAACCCAGCAATTCCACGTATGTGTATTTATCCAAAGAAAACAAAAACACTAATTCAAAAAAATATACATATTTGCCAATGATACATCTGATAAGGGCTTACTTTCCAAAATATATAAAGAATTTATACAACTTGACACTAGGAAGACAAACAATCCAATTAAAAAATGGGCAAAGGATCTGAATAAATACTTCTCCAAAGAGGTCAAAAAGATGTCCAATAGATATGAAAGAAATGTTCAATGTCACAAATCATCAGAGATGCAAATTAAAACTACAATAAGGTATCACCTCACACCTGCCAGAATGGTTACCATCAATAATTAACAAACAACAAATGCTGGCGAGGATGTGGAGAAAAGGGAATCCTAGTACACTGTTGGTGGAAATACAGACTGATGCAGCCACTGTGGAAAACAGTATGGAGTTTGCACAAAAAATTAAAAATAAAACTGCCATTTGACCCAGCAATCCCACTTCTGGGAATATATCCTAAGAATCTTGAAACACCAATCAGAAATAATATATACATTTCTATGTTCAAAGCAGTGTTATTTACAATAGCTAAGATCAGGAAACAGACCAAGTGTCCATCAGCAGACAAGTGGATAAAAAGAGCTGTGGCATGTTTACACAATGGAATACTATGCAGTTATAAAAAAGAAGGATATTTTACCCTTTGAGAAAGCATGGAGGGACCTAGTATTATGCCAGGTGAAATAAGCCAGTCAGAGACAGACATATATCACATGCTATCACTTATATGTGGAATCTAATGAACAAAATAAATTCATGAATAAAATAGAACCAGGGATATGGAAACATGGAACAGACTGATGAATATCAGAGGGAAGGAGCACAGGGGGGCATAGAAAGATATTAACCAAAGAACTTATATGCATATATGCATTGCCCATGGACGCAGACAACAGGGTAGTGAAGGAGAGTTTCTCCCCAACTAGGTCTTTAGGGAGCATCTGTTTTAATTAGACAGAAGCAGAGCCCAGCAGGACCAGTCTCCAGATATCACTCAGAAACCAGTGAGGGTGCATAACCTAACTATTTCCTACCTACAGCAGTCCACACATACTGCATCTGCTAATGACTCCAGATCTAGAGTGGATCGGGGTTGCTGCTAGTCAATATGTAGAATATTAAGGCCCTACCTATGTACCTACTGGACCTCAATGTACATGGAAACTTGCAGAGATACAAAAGAAATGATAAGGCCCTGGCCGGTTTGGCTCAGCAGTTAGAGCGTCGGCCTGCAGTCCAGAGAGACCCGGGATCGGTTCCCGCTAAGGGCATACCTTAGTTGCAGTTTGTCCCCAGCCCTGGTTAGGTTGTGCGTGCGGGAGGCAGCCACTCGATGTATCCCTTTCACATCGATGTTTCTTTCTCTCTCTTTCTCTTTCTCTTTCTCTCTCTCTCTCTCTCTCTCTCTCTCTCTCTCTCTCTCTCTCTCTCTCTCCCTCCCTCCCTCCCTCCCTCCCTCCCTCCCTCCCTCCCACTCTATGTGAACAAAAAATGGAAAAATGTCCTCGGGTGAGGATAAAAAAAATAAAATAAAAATAAAAAAAGAAATGATAGGTCAGAAGAAGCTGAGTTGTGTGTGTGTGTGTGTTTGTCCAAATTATTTTCAGACATAAAGTTAAATAATATTTAACAGTGAAGAGTCCACAGATCAACCACATCACCAATGTTTCAAATTAATCAGTCCATAAGAATACATACAAAACTCTATGCTAGATGCTGGAACTATAAGGATGAATGAGATATATTCTCTGGCCCTGGCCGGTTCAGCTCAGCGGTTAGAGCATCAGCCCGTGGACCTAAAAGTCTCAGGTTTGATTCTGGTCAAGGGCACATACCTTGGTTGCAGTTTGATCCCTGGCCCTGGTTGGAGTCATGCAGGAGGCAACCAATCGATGTTTCTCTCTCTTTCTCCCTCCCACTCTTTCTCTCTCTCTTCCTCTCTCTCCCTTCCACTCTATCTGAACAAAAAAAAAAAAGGAAAAATGTCCTCGGATGAGGATAAATAAATAAATAAATAAATAAACAAACAAACAAACAAACAAACAAAACAGAGATAGCAAAGGTACAATGCTCATGAGCTTGTATGACAGTTAAATAAGTTAATATGGTAAGGCTCTTAATGTGGTTCCTAGAATAATCTCTTAAAAACATTAGTTATTATCATAATAATTATTATCATTCATATTACCACATTATATGGTGATATGTTTTAAGATAATTATGGGAAGTAAGTTAGGACCAGATTATTACATTAATGTTCAGCTTAGAAATTACTCTGTAGTCCTGTGATTTCTAAACTGTGGCTACTGGAACACCAGGTTATTTTAGAGATGTTAATTGATATACAATCAAAAAAATTAAATGGACATGAATACAAACATCTATGGTCAAATAAGTGAAGGAAACTGCAAACTCTAGCCTACTCTTAGACAGCCATGTATGTGATTCATAGAGTGAAACTTTTTTTATGAAACATCCATTACAATATCTAATACTTATTTCCACAAAATGTTCTGTGGAAAACACTCCTGTAAGAAATGAAGAATGCTTGAAAGTATTTGACAGAAAGTAGTATGATCAGCTCTGTCTTTCAGAATGCTTATCATCAAGTCAATGTATAGTTTAAGCAACAGTGTAAAAGACTAAAATCAATTAAGCAACCAATGCAATATCTGAGGCAAAAGATGATAAGAGATGTAATTAATTGTAGAGGGAATGTTAAAAATAAAATTAACAATGCTAACAACCTAGCATTAATAGTTTTCAAATCCTTACTATGAGCTAAGTAAGCATTGTGTTCAGTGCTCTGTATGTGGTTTATTTCATTTAATCTTCTCAACAACTCTATGAGGTACTACTGCTGTTCCCATTTTACAGGTGGGGATAAAAACATTAAATAAATTTCGTAGGTTTACATAGCTAGAAAACAATGGGGATAGGATTTGAATCCCGATATGACTCCAAATACTATTCAGATAACCATTTGGTGGTATAATCAATATGAGTAACAACCAATAAGTTCTTGAGGAGCAGTCCAGAAAGGAAGAAGATGAAAAACTCCCCAGGGTTTCCAGCTCGGTGAAGGGGTAGAAGCCTTATGATCTAGTTTCCAAGGAAAGGAACAGAAACAGGAAGAAATACTAGCATGAGTGGGAGTTCTATATCCTGCAGGGATATTCAGTTGACAGGTGGGTCAACGCATTTAAAACTCAATAAGAGTTCTAAGGTAAAAAGAGAGATGTGGGACTCATGAATATAGGTGGTGATTGAGGAAATGAGTGCACATGACCTTTTCTGGGAAAACATGAAAGAATGGGGGTCAAGATGGTGCACACCAAGAGCCTACTCCGATTTTGCTAATCTGGCCCTGAATAACAGGCTATAACTCCTAATAATGTGGATGTTCAGAAACCAGGTAGAAGAGAAAATCAGGAATACCCTGTGTCCTCCTACTCTCTTCTATTCCCTGGAGTAAATAAACACTGCAATCAGCAACAATTTGCCTCCATGATATCATACTATCTTTGTGAGGGACTGGTTTACTGATCACTAGGTTTGTGGACACATTTAGCTGATCATTTCAGTGCATGATAGAGATGCATGTTGTGACTTCAGGAAGGTAATTGTGCTCTCATTCATTTCTCAAACATGTATTATGTACCAGGTATTTTGTAATGCACTAAAAATACAAATATGAATGACACACACTATTCTGGTTTCAAAGAGTTTACAGTCAGTTGAAGGTACAAATAAGTAAACAACCCATTATAATTCATTACATATATTTGTACAAGATGTGATAGACATACAAAGATAGGAGTCTTGGATTGCCTAGAAAAAAATTAGAAAACACTTCTCAGGGAAGGCAATTCTCGAACTGAAGTTTGAAGAAAGAACAGGATTTTCCCAGATGGCTAAATGGCATGAATGACTATTTTTTAAAAACACTTGCCATTATAGAAGTGGATGGAGAGCTACTTAAATCTGTACAAATAATAAATACCCATTTGGGGATTTAAAAAAAAAAAACTGGAACCTCTTCAGATATTGAATATAAAATTATTTTTATCCATTTTTGCATAACTAACTTTGTGTGCCGTTCAGCTCCGTATTTCTGTACTACATCTGGTCTACTGAGGATACCAAATGTTCATATCAAAGGCATGAACACTTAGTTGTTATTTGTGGGCTGTGGGGGAGGAATATGAGAAAAGAAGAGGATAGAGAAGGAGGCAAAGAGGAAGAGCCAGAAGAGAGAAAAGAGAGATGGAAGAGGAATTGGATGAAGAAGGAGGAGGAGAATGGGGAAGAGAAGGAAAAGCCCTCTCGGTTCAGGAAATCTATATATTTCACATCTAGTTTCCTTGGTAAAGCTGGTCGTGGGGATTCATGGGAACCATCAGCCCAGAGGGGAAGACAGCACCAAGACATGTCAAAGAACCAGTGCATGACACCCTCCAGTAGACAATGGGGTTGAGCACTGGTGGCACCACCACATGAAGACTGGCCAGCAGGATGTGGACATGCCGAGGAATGTTATATCCAAAGCAGTGGGACAATAAGGTAAAGAAGGATGGAATGTAAAACATGAGGTTGACACAGAAATGGGAGCCACAAGTGCTGAGAGCCTTGTGCCAGGCGTCCTGGGAAGGTAAACAAAACACTGCTTGGAGGATCGGTGAGTAAGACACAGTGATAAGGATTACATCCAAAAAGACTATGACAATGGGCACTGTGAAGCCATACCAGATATTAACAGTGACGTCGGCATGGGCTAAACAGGCCACTCCAATATGCTCAATGTAGGAATGAGGGATGATGTTGGTCTGACAAAAGGGCAGCCACTTTGGCAAGGCAATCACTAGAAAGATGATGCAGAAGCTTCAAGTGACAGTGCCAGAGCAATTCTTCTCACAACAGGCCATGTTAGCACTTGCTGAATAATGCAGAGGAGCACAGATGGCCACAAAGCAATCAAAGGCCATAGCTAATAGGATGGCTGACTCTCCCACAAACTTCACATGGACAAAGGACACTTGAGTGACACAGGCATCAAAGGCAATAGCATGACCATGGATCCAAAAGATGGCTAGGGCCTTGGGTACAGTAGTGATGGACAGCAGGATTTCCATGATGGCCAGCATGAAAAGGAAAAATTACATGGGTTCACGAAGGTTAACGTTCTTGATGATGACCACTATCAGGATGCTGTTCCCCAGACTGCAGTGATATACATGAAGCAGAAGGATATTGGCAGCCAGTTGTGATATGCCTCTAACCCAGGGATGCCGAGTAGGACAAAAACTGCCAGGTGGATGATGGTAAGGTTGGTGAGAGTCGTGATGAACTTTAGGATCCTCTCCACAATGACTTAGAAGTTGATGAGTCTGCTGAAAATGATAGGAACAGAAAGTATCTCTGTGTGCTGAGAACACAAAAGACAGCATGGATTTCCAAATTGTGGGATTCTCCAGTGGAAAGTCCTTCCACAGAATGCTCATGTGGGTGTAGGAATAACCCCTGGCCCTTCATGCTCATTTGCACATAGAGCTTCTGCATCAACCATGCTTCACCCTGCCTCCAATCACCCTGCCCCCACAGTTTAGCCCAGTCCTACCCTTCTGACCTCATTGTACCATTTCCACACAAGAGCATGTGCCTCCTTACCCACGCTATACTTTTCCCTCCCTCTAAGACTGCTCCTTCTGTGTTTTCTTCCCTTTCATTAATGCTTCTTCAAATTTTTTAAGCTTAAAATACCTCAATCCACTTTGGTTGTGTTTGTTTTATGTTTTTATTGATTTTTATTCTTTAGAGAGAGGAAAGGAGAGAGAGAGAGAAACATCGATGTGAGAGAGAAACATCAATCGGCTGTCTCCTGCACACCCTCTACTTGGGATCGAGCCTTCAACCTGGGCATATGCCCTGACCAGGAATAGAACTAGGACCTCTCAGTCCATGGGACGATGCTCAATCCATTGAGACACACCAGCCAGGCAAGACAAACCAGTTTGTAATGGCCTGTGTCCATAACAATATATTTCCTTCCTGAAGACCTATTAGGTAAACTATATTTTAACTTGATTACATTTATCTGGCTATTACCTTGAACATTTCACAGGAGACTTGCCTAATAAGATGGCACATGTGGTTCCCTATGCATGGAAGTGGAGCACACAGTAGAAGTCCAGAAGGAGCCTACGGGATGCGTTTCCCCATGCTGATCCAGATCCAGATCTATAAAGGCAGTGAGGAGTGTGGCAGCCATTGAAATTGAGAAGGGCATATTCATTGCCTGCTCTTTGGGAACTTCTCACATTTCTCCCCAGATGGTTCCATAAAGGTTGTGTTTAGATCTCTTTATCTTTAAGAGCCACCAGGAAAACTATTCTGAGTGTAAGAAATCAATCCACTCCCCTCTAGCTCCATAAATACAGCCCTCCTTCCCTGTCCACTTATTCTTAACCCTCAAAACGATTTAGGTTTCCCTGCTGCTATGAAGCGTTAATCCTAGAAGCCTTCTTGCCTTGGATCTTTCCACCACTCAGGTAAGATTTGTCTGCTTCTGAAGCTCTAAAATATGTGTCAGCTATCAGGACTAGGGAAAGGATGAGTGATTGAGAATCTGGAAGGAAGCATTGAGAAAAGGGATCATGGAGAGAATCAAGAATATAAAGGTACCAGATAAATACTAGATGGATCTACTGATAATGGTTTTCAGAGGGTCTGATGAAGGAAGGCATCCAAAGGAGTGAGAGCCCCAATTTATGAGTGCATCCTTCTGCCTCGACACAGATGCACTTGCTCAGAGCATGATAGGCTGTGGGGAGGGAGTAATGGGTCTCCAGGCAGGTACAGGAAAGGGGGCAGGGCCAGATTCAAACAAGTAAGGGTCCCAGATGGACTAATAATTTGACACCCTTCCAGATAACATATTGTAAATATTTGTTTATCTTCTATTTATAGGAGAGGCTGAGCTTTACTGGGATAAGCAAGAAGGGTCCCAGGTAGCACTATTCCACCTCATTTCTAAAGCACTTGCCCCAAATTTATATAAATAAAACTTCATCAGAAATAAAATTCATTTTTCTTTTACATATCACTTCTCAATAAAAGATACCTAATGTAAGTCCTCACAAAAACAACTCTGACTCTGTTTACACTTCCAATGATGTTTCATAAGCTCAATAGTGAAGACACCAAAGGTAAGGTAGGAAAGGGAGCAGTAAGGCCTCAGTGGCTATCAATGAGGTTTTGGAAAGGAGGTTACCATCTGTGTGAAGAAGGACTTTCATTTCATTCAGTGGCTTCTGAGGGCTCCATCTCAGCCCTGCTGAGGGTTCTCAGCAGAAAGGTTCTAGGTTATTTTAGGAAAGAGTGAGGGGTAAGAAGAGAGGAAAGTCACAGGCATAGGAGGCAAATCCAGAGTCTCACAGAAAGTACCTCCCACAGCCCTAAGAGATTATCCAGATGAGTGAGAAAAAGAGACCCGGTATGGTAGAGAAGGGGCACTGCTGAGCAGGTGAGAACACACACAGTCCACAGGTGAGGGCACAGTTCTGCAGCCAGACTTCCTGGGGTAATTTCCCAGTTTTACCCTGACTAGGTGGATGGTCTTAGGCAAGTTACTCTGTTCCTGTATGCCCATCTTACACATCTCTTAATGTGTAAGATGTGGATAACAAAAAACTCCACAAGTCAATTAGAAGGATTAAATGAGTCAATTTATATAAAGTGCTATTTTCAGTAGAGTAGGTTATTATTATTGCTGTTATTATTATTTATAAATCTGTTTTGGCCATCAGTTCTATTATATTTTTTCCAATAGGCAAAATAACTGAATGAATACTCAGCAACTTTTTAGTCTTACTGTTCATCCAAATATGACCAAAGGCATAGAGAAGAAGGAAAGGGAGGAGAGAAGTGCTCAAAAAGAGAAAAATACCCTGATAACTGATCTCTCAGATGGACCTGGTGTCTCAAAACCAAGACCTGAGGGCTTTGGTTGGTGCACCAGGCAGGTCCACCAGTGATGAACTCAGCTTGGGCCAGATCGACCTGGGAGGCTTCCCTCAAATACTTTGAAAACACCCATCTGTCTCAGCAGACCCAAGAAGAGAGTACCTCCATCATTTATAGACTCCCCAGGGACACTGTGAAGTGATGGGAGTTATAGTCTCAGCTCTAGAACCAAAGAGAGCTGGGAAATGTAGAAAACATTCAGTCCAAGCTAAGAAAAAATGGAGTCACACCCTGCCCAGTTTGGCTCAGCGGTTAGAGCGTTGGCCTGCGGTCCAGATAGACCAGGGTTCAGATCCCGCTGAGGGCACGTACTTCGGTTGCAGTTTGTCCCCGGCCCTGGTTGGGTCGTGCAGGTGGCAGCCGCTCGATGTGTCCCTTTCACGTCGATGTTTCTCTCTCTCTCTCTTCCTCTCTCTCCCCCCTACTCTGTCTGAACAAAAAATGGGAAAATGTCCTCGGGTGAGGATAAAATATATATATCTATATATATATATATATATACACACACACACACACACACACACACACACACACACACATATACATATATATATAAATAATTGTTAGAAAACTATGTAGGATTGGAGTCATTTTTTTAATGTGTTTATATTATTTAGACATTTATTTAAACAATTATTTTCATTTTGCCATTTTCCTTGTACATGTGCTTGTGCTCTTGTATTTTTCACCACTCTCAGGTTCTACAATTGCGCGGTTCTACACACTGAAACCATGTCCCTAATGGATAAAACCGCCTGTCCCCACACGGGCTATAAGGGTGGTCTCTGCTGCACACTATATGGAAGGATTCGTTGTGAGATGTATCATAAGACATTTATTTCTAATAACAAAAAATAAGGTATCAAAATTTATAAATGGTTTATCCTTTAATAACAAGGAGCTAATTCACATTCATGCCTCTAATAATTCAACTCGTGCTCACATGCTTGTAAAGCCAGCATGTAAAATGGTTTCATAATCTAAACCCGTCTTATCTACTCTGCAGAGGCACTGAGATACCCTTAATTCACAGACACACCCTTAATAGTGATTCACTTTTTTTTTTTATAAATAAACTTCTCAAGAAAAATTTCCACCGACCCATTTGTTTCACAAGCTATAAATATTTTGGGAATTTTTTCAAAATTTGAGCCCAGGCCAGTTTGGCTCAGCCGTTAGAACATCGGCCTGCGGTCTGGAGAGACCTGGGTTTGGTTCCCGCTAAGGGCACGTACCTCGGTTGCAGTTTGTCCCCAGCCCTGGTTGGGTCATGTGGGTGGCAACCACTCAATGTGTCCCTTTCACGTCGATGCTTCTGTCTCTCTCTCTCTTCCTCTCTCTCCCTCCCACTCTATCTGAACAAAAAACAAAAAAATGTCCTCGGGTGAGGATAAAAAAAAAATTGGAGTAAGCACATGGTGGTGTATTATGTGTAAATCTCATCTGAATTTTTTTATGATGTGATGTCAAACGTGATGTCAGCCCTGCTGACATCTCCCCAGCTTCAAGGTACAACCTCTCCTTCTCCCGATCTCTGTACCGTGTCTACAAAATGCAGGATGGGAGACAGAACAAGGAAGGTTTTTCCAGTTTAGACACAACCAAGATTCAGATTAACAAGAGAAAGTTTCCTCAAGAGTCCCCATTTTGGGACTGGGGAGTTTGCAGCACTAAGCATAGAGTCTGGCACACTGTAGGTATGTAGGAAATATCTGAACAAGTGAACCAGGGAATTAGTAAATTAACCTTTTACTCATGGATCTGTCTGTTGCACCAAGGTGATGATCCAAACCTGAGCCACTTTCATGAATAGCCCCCACTGATAGCTCCTGTCCTGGTACAGTCTGATTCTGACTGCTCTTTGAACTGTGCTTAAATATTTTATTAAAAAGCCTCTCTTCCCGCCCTGCCGGTGTGGCAAAGTGGTTGAGTGTTCACCCATGCACTCAGAAGTCACCAGTACGATTCCAGGTCAGGGCACATGCCAGGTTGTATGCCCAATCCCCAGTGAGGGGCATGCAGGAGGCAGCCAACCAATGTTCTCTCTCATCGATGTTTCTATCTCTCTCCCTCTCCCTCTCCCTTCCTCTCTCTCTAAAAATAAATAAAGAAATAAATTCTCTCTTGCCCCATATTCTCCTGGTGCTCTTCCTGACCCACCTCTGCATTCCCATTTCTGTCTCTACCCAGTGTCATCCTCCTAGTCCCGCTGACATCTCCCCAGTGCCCATACTCCCCACCCTGTTCTCTGCAATCCTGCTCTCATCCTTTGTCTCACTGACCCCTCGTCTTTCTCCCACATATCCATTCCAGCTCTAATCTTTGTCCTTTACATAATCTTTTAAATACACCACACACACACACACTCCTACCAATCCCTCCCCTGCCCCCCTGCCACCATCAATGCTGTTAAACTTGCCTCCTACATCACAGCACCAGCTGAAGGACTGAGGAAATGATAAAAGAGCTAAAACAGTTGTTTGTTCTGAGAAAAGAGGAATGAGAAGAAGGAAGACTGGACTGATCATGTTGGCATGAGGCGTGTCACTGCATCTGCCCCGTAGTGGGTACTTATATTTAGAGACAGAGAAGCTGCATACTTCCTTCTTCTGAAGGCAGGTGCCAGAGTCACCCATGGGATCACTGAGCACTGGATCAGTGAACCAAAAGAGAAATGAAAACCCATCCTCTGATGCCAAGAGGGAGTACTAATTGTAGAGGTAATTAGAAGCTCCAGGCAAAATGCACATAAAACATTTGAAAACACAGCATAAGAGCAGTGACAGAAATCCTAGCAATAAAATAATAACATAATAACAGCTAACATTTGTTACATCCCTGTCGCTGTGTTAGGGTTTAACATAAATTGTCTCATTTAATTTTCAGAACAACCCAATGAGATAAGGCACTATTAATCTTTTTATTTGGCAGATGAGAAAATAGAGGTTTAGATAGACTAAGTAGCTGATAAGGAGCAAGACAAAAGCCCTCAGGTGAACATGTCAAAGTGCTCAAACTCAGTCCAGAAACACTCATTAAGGGAGAAGGGAGGGACCATTTTGAAGCAACCCTGCCGGCTCAATCACTCAAGGTAAGTTCAAGAATAAAAAAGAGACAGAGTAAGTGAATGGCTGATTAAAATTTTTACACATTAAAAACAAATTTTACTTCCTGTGAGCACATAATTAAAGTACTCTAACACTGCTGGGAGGAAAGTAATTCTTCCCAACTCATCTTGTAACTTTTGGACCAAAGAAGTTGTTAGAAACCCAATAAAGTAAAAAAAAAAAAAAAAAAAAAAAGACATTAACCCAGCAATTTCACTGTTAGTTTACAGCAGCTTAAGTTCATAGTAGCCAAAAACAAAACAAATCAAATGTCCAAAACTTCTTAAAAATAGAGAGATGATTCTCCCAGGGTAGATCAACTGGTAATTTTTTGGAGCAATGAGCACTTCTTTGTTCCCACCTTTCCTCCAACATATTAGTGCAGGATAGGATATAAAAATTGTCAAATGTGGGGCTCTAACATAGCATTTGATTTTAAAAACTCCTCAAATCACTTTTCATTTTAATGATTTGTCTATCATTTTAAATAAAAATATAAAATAAGATATTTAATCTATTTTGCTAATATTTTATTACTTTGTTACTAATACAAATAAATAGATTTTATTCTTCTAATTGTTACAAGAAGGGGTTGAATAAAGTTCTGTTGTAAAGCAAAAAAAAATCATGATTTGAATTATGATTATTTTATATAGTTAGGAATTAATCTATGAGATTAATTTCTGCTGTCTACTTTAACCCAAGTATGAGTCCTGGTTAATATTTCTTTGATCCTCAAAAAATATGTAAATAAATATCATTAAATGTTAAAAAAAAAGAGGTTAGATTAAAAGAGTAATAACCCAACTGTATGCTGTTCACGGGCAATTCACTTCAAATTAAATAAGTGGTGCCCTGGCCGGTTTGGCTCAGCGGTTGGAGCGTCGGCCTGTGGTACTGAGAGACCCAGGTTCAGTTCCCACTAAGGGCACGTACCTCGGTTGCAGTTTGTCCCCGGCCCTGGTTGGTCATGTGGGTGGCAGCCACTCGATGTGTCCCTTCACATCGATGTTTCTCTCTCTCTCTCTTCCTGTCTCTCTTCCTCTCTCTCCCTCCCGCTCTATCTGAACAAAAAATGGAAAAATGTCCTCGGGTAAGGATAAAAAAAAAAAAAAAAAATTAAATAAGTAGTTGAAAATAAAAGGGTGGGGAAAAACATATATCATGCAAACATTCATCAAAAAAAAAACACAAGGGGCTATATTAGTATCAGCTGAAGTAGACTTCAAAGCGAACAAAATTACTAGCAACAAAGAGACACATTATATATTGATAAAAGGATGAATTCACCAGGAAGATATAATGATCCTCAGTATGTACACCCCAAACAACAAAGCGTCAAAATACATTAGGTAAAAAAACCAAAAGCACTAAAAGAAAAAATAGACAAATCACAATTATAATTTAGGACTTCAACAGCCTCCTCGGGGTTGAAGTTCTAGCTAAGCAACTGATAGAACTGCTAGACAGAATATCCACAAGGATACAGAAGCACTGACCAACACCCTCAACCAGCAGG